CTCTTCCCCCCTCCCGCTCCTGAGATAAACTTTTGAGGATTAAAACTAAAAGTCAAGAGTTGAGAACATTTATGTAAGTAAAACGATGTTATCTGGCAAAGTCATGATTTAAGACTGTCCTAGTTTCTAACTAGGTCTGCATGAAGGTGACTAAGAAACGTTTTCTGTAATCAGTCTCTATGTATAAAGTGTACATGTGTAAATGTTTGGGGTAATTCGTAAAACCATGGACTTTTGTACTGGAGGGAGTTTTTTGCGGTCATCTAACCCATCTCTATTTGCTTTTGAGGGAGAAAAAAACGGGTCTGGCGTGGCGGAGGGCGCGTCTCCCCTGCAGGTCAGAGGCAGCTGGTTAGAGGCAGACCAGAGCAGGAGACCCGCACTCCAGGCCACGGCCCTGATTCCCGCCGCCCGGCAGCGGTGCCTGGGCTGTTCCTAGATCAATAATAGAGCTATCACAGGCTGAGAGCAGGCTTTCCGATTAAACCCAGGTAAGAATAGAGGCTAAATCACAGTGCGCCTAAGGATCAGTTTCTCAGTTTCCACTCTTAAGTCTTTGGTCCTTCACCTGTTTTGGACAACCCAGATCCACCCAAGACCCTTCGGTTATCGAAGCCCTCACCGCCCCCCACCCCCCACCCCACTTCAATACAACAGTGACATTTCCCTCCTTTGAATGTAAGGTGCACACTGGTTCCTTTCTTGTCTCAAATGCTAGGGTTTGGCTAGGAAGGAAGATTTGTGTCAAGAGGGTTTTTTGTTGTTGGTTTTTTTTTGGGGGGGGCGAGTTAGGGGAAGTGATGTCATGGTTAGTCTAGAACTTAATATATGCTTCAAATGGGTGTCGAAGACAAGTCTGCTGGGTTTAGTTTTCAAAAGCTTACTGTGGAATTATACCTCAATAAAAAAAGAAAAATATTGCCATTACATTTCTACACAGAAGAAACGCTCTATCTCTTCTTAATTGTCTTAATGGTTCAGGCTGGAATTTGAATGATTTCATGACCGGGGCGTTTGTAGAAGAATCGGCGGAGCAGGGGAAAGCTGACTTGCCCCCAATCAGTTTCCTCTTCCTTTTGCAATTGCCGACTCGGCCTTAGACCAGCTTTGGGTCTCTTGAGGGCCGGGATCCCCGACTACGCGTCCTATTCAAGGTAAAATAGGAAGCAGAAAAAGTTAAGCGAGCACGCGGAGGCAGGCAGCAAAGCAGAGGAGCTGGAAAGGCCACTTGAAAGCATTCAGGCGCGAGGGGCGAGCCGTTTGGGGTTCCCTCACAAGCTATGCATCTTGTTGGTGTTGAAACCGCGGCAGTAAAGTGTATACTACAACCTAATTATCGGGGGGCACACTGTCCCTTCTCTTAGATATATTGCCTTTGCAAATCAATACGGTGCCATAAAAACGGGGAACCGGTGCTCGGCAGAGAGGTGCTGTCAGAGGGTGATTCAGAGCCGTCCCGCAGCGGAGAGCGCCGAATCCTGAGGTCCCTTCAAAACCCCTGCGTTAGCGCGGTGCCGTTAACAGGTGACGCTACGTTACGGAGAGAGCTGGAACAAAGCAACGACATGAACTCTCCCCTCCAGGTTCTTCTCAGGCTGACCACAGGCGGGCGGGGGCTGCTTTCGGATACCGGCAAGTGCCTTGGACTCCAGAAAGATTTAAATCTTGACTTTAGCCCGCGTTAGCCCTGAGACTTTGTGTGGGCTACTAAACCTCTCATTGCCTCAATGTCATCATCTACATGAAAACAGGGACAATAATTTATTCCTACCTGGAAAATGGTTCTATGGATTAATGAAGTGATGTGCATAAAACGCCTAAACCATAAGTAACCCTAACAGTTACGCCAATATAAGTAAAACATAAGTACAACATTTTATTAATTTTTGAACTGCAATTTCGCGATCGCAGAGACGCATCTCATGCGTGGTCAGCAGAGTTAAAACCCCGTAGCTAGTTTTGGAGTGTACGCGGAGGATTGGCGTCACCGGGTGGTAAGGGGCCATTATTTAAATCCTGTTGAACTTTGGAGCCTAGGGATTTAAAATTTGGGTTATACGTCTGAGTTTTATTATACGGACGCCACCCTTTCAAATTCACCTTTGTAGCCTCGAGAACTCAAAAGTTAGTCGGCCCAGACAACTGTCCAGGAAGTAATCGGTTTCCGGCTTTTGGCCAATGGTCCTTCGCTTAACGAACGCTAAAGCAGAATCCTCCGCTGACCGCGGCAAGGACTGGCCCCTGCCTAGTGTCGGCGACACCCCGCTGCCCGTGGGGGCGAGGACTGCGCCCGGGCGATGGGACCCGATGGTAGACCATGATCGCGGGAGCGAAGGTGGGAAAGGAGACCCGCTTCTCAGCACGCGGGCAGCGGCTCCGTGACGTGCCCAAAGACCCCTGCCCCACCCTCTCTTCCGCTGGTCTGCTAAATGCTTTAAAAGCGCAGCAATGGGCCCCTGTGCCTTTGGGTTTCTCAATTCGGTTTACCGCCCTGGAATGACTCCCGAATCAGCGCGGGGCGGGAGGCTGCAGCGGCTGGGGGTACGCCGCAGCACATCCTCGCGGCCCGCGGGGGGCAGCGCGCGTGCCCGCGCCGGGTAGGGAGCGCGCGGCGCGGCCTCGGATTTCTCCTAGTGGCAACAGGGCGAGTCCCAGCCTATCGTCTGGGGAGCCCAGCCCGAGGCTCAGACGCACAGCCCGCCGCGGTTGTTTTCTTGACCCCAAGTGGTCCCTGAGATGCGCCCAGAACACCCAGGCCTCGGGCCCACCCTGCCCAGTGCCGGCTGTAAGAGCAAGACAAAAATCAGCTCCATTAGGGGCGCGGCCCGAAGTTGTCATCTGACGATCCCGGGTGTGGGACCTAGGAAAGGGATGTCGTGTGGGCCTACGACAGGTTGAGCCCATGTTCAGGGCCGGTGTCCTTAGGTGGTGACGGGAAAGTTCATTCGAAGAGGGAGCCCGCGGTACTAGGACCTTACACAGCGGGGCCTCCTCCGGTTCCCACCGTGCGACATCCTCGGTCTAGGGCAGAGGTCAGGCGCAGGGCCTTAGAGCCTCCTCCCAGGATGCTTCCTCTGGGCTGCGACCCTCCCGCTCCACCTCGCGACCACTTGTTTCCCTCTTCTCCCCCCATGAGCTCGCGACTACAGGGCTTCCTCCTGACCCGGGAAGAACCCCTGCGCTAGAGCTGTGCAAAACTCGCAGCGCGATCCCAAGAAGAGCAAAGAAAGATCTCTTCTGACCCTGAGATGGAGGAACCCAGGCCACTCTCCCACCCTCTGGCCTCCTTCCTTCCCCACGCGTGCTCCCGCCTTCCTGACTCAACCCTCCGCTTGGGACGTCGCTGCCTTCTTCCTTCCAGTTGCCAGCACAAATTGCCTGGCTGCTGACGGATCCTGTTTTTATTTAACGCTTATTTTGTCCACTGTGCATGTGTTGCATGGATTTTGATTTTTTAAATTGGTGCATTAAAACATTATTTCTTGGTTACTGAGGGTTTTGTTGTTTTGGGTTTTTTTTTGGCGCCCCCATAAATTTCTGGTTCTCATCCTAGTCCCGGCCCCGTCAAGAAGGTTAAGAATTGGATTGAAATGAAGCTGATAATAATAAGCAGTAGAGAGGGGCGGCCTCCAATATAAATCTCAAGCTTTGAAAGTGTCGCTCTTGCCATTGCCACACGCGCTGGACTGATCAAGCAGGAACTCCCACGAGGAGGAAGACAGAGGACAGAGGACAGTCCCCTGCTTCGGCATGAATGTCCCGTTGGCGGGTGTGCTGGCCCGCAGCTGCAGACCGGTGCGGCCTGAGTGGATAGGGCATGCCTCACTCAGCCA